GGGCCTTATCCAATTAGAAATTTGTCAGTTGTATGTATGTTAGTTGAGCCATTATTGCACTAGCAGGCATTGCTTGGCATGTCCATAGCGTGCAGCATGCGAGGTCCATTGTTGAGCAGAATCATAGGAGATCCTTTTTCCCTAAACATCTGCATAGCACCTTCTGGCACTATGAAAGTCATCCATCCAGTGGCATGGAGTTTTTGGCTTAGTCTCAGCTCCATCTCTTCTCCCATGCTCATTATGCAATGTCTTTGGCAACATGGCCTTACCAACCTTTTTACTGTTCAACCGACTTTAGTGGCAATAGCTTTGGTGAATTTGAGGACCTCTGTGCTCTCTCTCTGATCAACAGCTCATAGGGGAATCAACAACCACCCCTGGTACTGTAGTTTTTCTTAACAGTTGCATAGTTTTGGGAGGCTCTGTTTTTATCTTAATCAACCATAAAACTCCCAAGAATTTTATAGCTATAGCTGGCCTTTGTTTCTTCAGGTATCTTTTAAATGCTTTTCACATCTGTAAAGCACTCAAAGGTTAACATCATATATTAAACCAATCATAGACAAGGTCTGACACAGCATGGAAAGGTTTTACCCATTTGTATTAATTGTTTTCTCCATAGATCTCTGTTAGGCACCATAGCATGGGTAAGAGGCATGAATTTGGTTAGTTCTTTACTAACTTTAGTTATCCCTTTGGAGTCATTCTGCATTCTGGGGCTCTTACATGGAGTCTCTTTGTATTCTTTTATCTTTGATACACTTATAGGTGCTGGCTCCAGTTGCCTGACCCTGCATCAGGCTAAGGGGGCAGCGGTCTCTCTTGTCTCTGCAGTACCTGTTGGTTTCCTGAGCCAGGCAGGCCCTGAGTCTGCCTCCTGACTGTAGTCATGTCTGTCATCTCTTCATTGACCATACCTGGCTGCAGGGGGAGGCCCTGGTGGAAAAAACTTCCTCCACCCCTAGCATAGCCTTTCTCAGGAGAGAAATGTAGCCTATTTAATCTGTGGGCATCCTTAACCACCCCTGGGACAGCTTTTATCCCCCGAATGTCTTTTGTAAACTGTTCTTTAGGTTTTAAAGCCTCCCAGAAACTCCTTAGTACTGAATTTGGTTTTCTATCAATTTTTTCTTTGGGAATTTGGGCTCGACATAAGTCTTGCCACATTTGTCTTCAAGTGACCCAAATGGACCATTTCTCTGTCTGGTCTTTTTTATATCTCTTCTGGGTGTTCTGTTGTTCTACAGACACGTTTTATACACTGGTCTGAGTCACTTAGATCTGCTAAAGCCTCTCTCACTTTGCAAAGATCCTGTCCCATTAAAAGACTTAGCAAAACCATCAACGCTCTATTCTCAAGGTCCCAGTTGAATTAAGCTTTCCTTTATATCTCTTGTCAACAGTCTTATCTGGCCCTGTGAACTGGGCATCATATATTGCTTTTCTCATACCTAGTTTTCTCAGTAATGCCTATCCCTCCATTATAGTCCTCCAGCCCCTGTTAATTATGGGAGTTTCCCTTGGTAATGACCAAGAATCTTTAATATCTTGCACCAGCCATCCCATTAAGGACTGCTCCCCCCCTGCACTGGCCTAGGTTGAACAGCCTATATCACAAGGATGGATGGGTGGTTATGTAACTCACCTGTGAAGTTTCTGAAGGACTCATAGACACCCGGGCCTTGCCCTCCCTTGCGCACTGGGCTTCGCCTCTTCAGCCTTCTGACATCTCTCTGGATGCTCACATTCCTCCCATCAAAGGACTTTCCTTCTTGCACCTCACACCATTACCCGGCTCCCTCCTCCTCCTCACTGGGATCTCAGCTTCCACACCATCTTCCTGACGTTTTCTGAGCTGCCCTTTGAAAGCAGTCACTTCATTTTATCACTGTACCTACCAGTTCCTGGATTTAGCTTGTGGGTGTGATGATTGTCCCTTGTCCCCTTCCATCAGATATGAGTTCCTTGGGGAGGCAGGACCTTCTCTGTCCTGCACTGATGATTCATCAGGGCCTGGAATAATGCCAGGGCTAGGTCTTTTCTCTGATTTCAGTGTTTTAAGGATGTGGGAGCTCTATGTGTTCCCCTCTGCTGTCCATACAGCACCTTGAGTGGCTACTGGCATACAACAGGTGGCCTATAGATGCCGGAGTGAATAGACGTATGGAAAATATTCACTAAAACTAGTGACAGTGGTTTCATAGCACTGGAAGGGAGGCACTGGAGATGGGGACTGAGGCTGAGAGACAGTGCCCTGCGGAGCTAGCAAGTACAGGATTCCTATCCTTACCTGAATGACTGTCTTAGCCAGTGGCTACCTGGCTGAGTGGACAAGCAGGCAGGTAGACCAATGGCATCTGGCTGAATGGAGGGATACATGTTCAGAAAGTCCTCTAACCCAGAGGTGAGTCCCTGGCCCACACTCTCCCCTCTCCCCCTTAGCACTCCTAACCCCCGACGTTGGCGAAAAGTGGAGCAGTGTGCAGGAACCAGGACTCTGATGTGTCCCATGATGTGCCTGAAGAAACAGGACCTGTACAACAAATTCAAAGGGCGTGTGCAGGCTGCTTCTGCAGGTGTCAGGTCTGACCATGTAGAGTCCAACTACCTAGAGTACCTTTTTGAAGGTAAGTCCCTTCATTTCCCATTCAGTGGGGCTAGTCAGATGGTTCAGCGGTTAAGAGCACTTGATGCCCTTGCAGAGGACCAGAGTTGGGTTCCTCATGCCCTTGTTGGGTGGCTTCTAACCTCCCATAACTCCAACTCTAGGGGATCTGATGCTCTCTTCTGGCCTTCTTGGGCACCTGCATGCACAGGTTAATACACACATACATAAATAGAAATAAAATAAATCTTGAGGGTAGATCAGGGGCTGAGTAAGATGCTGTTGCCTGCCAAGAACATTGTTCAGTGGTACAACAATCCTTTGTGTGTGTGTGTGTATGTGTGTGTGTGTGTGTGTGTTTATGTATTAATGTATGTGTATGCATGTTCATGTGTGTGCATGTGGAGGCCAGAGGACAACCTCGGTGTCATTCCTCAGGCATTGTCCACATTTTTTTTTTAACAGACAGGATCTCTCACTGGCCTGGAATTTGCCATGCAGGCTAGACTGGCTTCTCTGGATCCGGGGGTGGGGGGCAACCGTTCCTCTGCCCTGGGTCTCAGAGTGAACCCCAGGTCAGAATGAACTTTTTTTTTATCTTTTTTGAGACAGGGTCTCCCTGTAGCTCCAGCAGACCTGGAACTCACTATGTAGATCAGGCTAACCTCGAACTCACAGAGATTCACCTGCTTCTGCCTCCCAAGTGCTGGGATCAAAGGCGTGACCACCATGCCCCACCAGAATGAGTTTTTAAGTTCATTTGGGTTGTCAGGCTGAGGTCCCTGATCCCTCACTGCTTCTCAGCCTGTCCCAGCGGCTGAAAGCGCCTGCATTTCTCATCACATCCCCCCATCTCAAAGCCAGAAGTGGCTCTACTGCATCTTAGTCATGCTTTGCATGTTGGAACCTCCCCTCCGCTCTGTGAAAGTCTGCTTGTGGGCATGGTGGCACATGCCTTTATTCCCAGCACTCCAGATGCAGAGGCAGGCAGGGTCTGTGTGAATTCTAACAAGACTAGCCTGGTCTACATAAGGAGTTTCAAACCAGCCAAGGTTACATAGTGAATCAGTCAGATGAAAGCTTGAGTGTGATCTAGTCAGTAAGACTCCTGGGCACAGGAGTCTCCATCTGTGGGCCAGCAAGGCTGAAGGATACGCTGTCTCTTGTTCTCTTTATAAAGCGTGGGATGGGTGCAGGGTGGCATTCTAGGTCGAGCAAAGGGAAATGGGTGAAATAGAGGTATTGGTCCAAAGCAGCCTCAAAATCCAGCCAAGCAAACAAATGCCATTTAGGTTCAAGGTTTGGGATGATTCTCCTTGTCTCCCAGTGAAGCCCTTTGAGCGCCTGCCTATTCTTCCAAGTCAGGCTTTCTTCACTATGGAGTTGCAGCTAAGGAGTTTTATCAGTCCACATCTCACCAGCAGAAATAGCAGTTAACTGCCCCTGTGAGGCCAGGTGGCCATGTTTCTTGTAGACATAACTGTAATACTGAGCAAGAGTCACAGAGGAACGCCATATAGTGTGGTCGAATCAGGAGTCCTTTATTAGCCAGTGGTCAGAGGGAGGGCTAATACCATGAGGGGAGGCAGAGTGGGGTTTATAAAGCCTAAAACCACAATAACATCATGCCAGGGGCAAAACCAATAATCATAGTTACATCAGATCACCATAGTTACATCAGATCGGGGGTAGGTCAGTTAACAAAGAGGTTTTCAGCTAAAAAAAATTTTGGCTAGGAAAAACAAGTTTCTCAGGATTGCAGAGACAATGGTCTCCATGGTGATGCAAGTATAGCTGGGTAAGAGGACATGGTTCCAGCTACTTGGAAGTTTCCCAGTATTGTAGAAACAATGTACCCCCTGAAACTACAGGTGCAGCCTTCATGGCTGGCTGGCTACAGCGGAAATGGCTGGGCAGAAACACAGGGTAAACCAAAGTCAACTAGAACAAAATGGAGTCGGTTTCGCCATTTCAATAAGATTCTCAAGAATTATGGGTTTCCTGTGGCTGTGGACAGCCACTCCTATAGGTATCTTGCACTATGTCTAGGTACATCCTCTTGGGTTGGTTTCCCTGGAGAACTCTGACTAATAGCCTTCCTACTCCCATCTCTCTGTCTCTCCTGGACAAGTGACAGAGCTAAGCTTTTTGAGGTTTTGTGAGTTCACAACCCCCTATGACTACCCTTCCCTCACTCTGCCTTGTCTGGAAAGATCCAGACTCGCGTTCACTATCCACCCACTACTGGAAGTGTATTCTGGTGTTACAGCCCCCGCTAGCCTTGTTTTATTTTTTAAAAATCAGTTGATAGGGGCTGGGGAAACAACTCAGCTGATAAAGTACTTCAGTGAATTCCAGGTACAATGAGAGTCCCTGTCTCAAAAAAAAGGTGGACTGTGATAGAGGAAGACACCTGACATTGACCTCTGGCCTCTACACGGCACTCACAGCTGTGCTCACTTGCACACACAAGTGCACACATAAGCATAAACTGCACACACGTGTGAACATATATATATGAACCATGTACATGCCACATATGTGCACACATGCATAAACCACATGTGTGCACATATACGTGAGCATGCATGCATGAACCACACACAGGCACACATGTGCACCCTCATGCACACAGTGGGATGGTGATGCTTCTCTCCCATTGTATGGTGCTCGGGGCACAGTGAATGTTTCACAAATGCTAATATGACTATTCCTTGCCCAGAGAGCTCTCTGGGTGGGACAGAGATAGGAGGATGGAGATAGTGGGTCCCCTAGAGGTTGCTCACAGGTCCCATTCTGTTTCTAATCAGTGGAGCCAGCCCCGCCTACCCTCATGCTCACCAGAACCAAGAGCATCCTGAAGGTTAATGCCACCTACCAGCTGCCCCCTTGTATACCCTCACTGGACCTGAAGTACGAGGTGGAATTCTGGAAAGAGAGCACTGGAAGCAAGGTGGGCCCCTTTTCTGATTCTGTGAGTGTGTGTGTGTGTGTGTGTGTGAGAGAGAGAGAGAGAGAGAGAGAGAGAGAGAGAGAGAATGAATATAGACATGCATGCCACATGCCACAGCACACATGTGGATGTCTGAGGACAGCTTTGTGGAAAGTTCCTTTACTGGCTGAGTCATCTCACTGGTCCCATGTCATTTAAAGTGTTCCACATCAAGTTAAAGGAAACAGGTGACTAGTTGCAGGGTTTTGGGGGGGAATAAGGGGGAGTGAGACAGGGTCTCCTATAGCCCATGCTGGCCTTGAAGTCACTATATAGCCAAGGATGCCCTTCTGTATAGTCAAGGATGACCTTGAACTCCTCCTGTTCATCCTGCCTCTACCACGTGCTGGTATCATAGGCAGGCACCACCATGCCTGACTTGTCTTTGGTTCTAATAACAAATCCTCTCTTCCATAGCACGTTGCAGTATTAACATGGAATTAACACATACTCATTGACTTGTTTTACCTTCTTATTCCATTCTGTCTTTGGAAACTAGTATGCATTTTGTACTTAGGGCACATCTCCATTTAGACTGACTACATGTCCAGAATTTGTGGCCTCTGCCATGCCCTGCACAGGGCAGCTGGAGAGGCTTCTGAACCTGCAGTGACTGAACTGCCCTCATCCCGAGGGGGGAGGTGGAAAGCCTATGGAATCTCATCTCAAAGAGGCGACCCCTCAGGCCCTGGTGGAATTCATAGAGGAGTGACCCCCAAATAGCAGGCTGCTTTTGAACACCAATGATATGCAGAAATCCCCCTGTAAAGAAAGCAGATAGTGAACAGTGTGTACTCTGTACTTACCCTTTAATTTAGAAAGAGAAAAGAAAGTTTGGAGGTTCCCATCTACCCTCCTTGGCCACCCTACCATGTCCTCCCCACAGCTCTGCTCACCAACATTGCTGATTCTTTCTCCAAACAGATCCTCTTTCCTGCCACTCCACACGGCCAGCCAATACAGATCCCACTCCAGCCAGGTGCCAGCGGACGCCACTGCCTCAGCGCCAGAACCATCTATACCTTCATTGCCCTCAAGTACAGCCACTTCTCTGAGCCCAGCTGCATTTTCCTGGAAACCCCAGGTGGGCACAAAGTGGCACTGTAGTAGGGACTTCCCTCCATGACCTCAAAAGTTTCACAATACAGTGGTTAAAAGTATAAATCACGAGACAGACTCACAGATGGAAATCCCAGCTCCACCACACTCACTGTGTGTCTTTGAGTGGCTTACATAACCTCTACTGAGCCTTGGCCTCCTCAGGAATAGGCTGCTTCTTCTGAGGAGGGAGTAGGATGATCACTAGAAGCACTTGGCACCCTGATGGACTGGTACCATTGTTCTTTCTACAGCTACTGTGCTCTCTTCCCTAGGGGCCAGCTGGGCTTTCCTGGTGCTACCCTCACTCCTGCCTCTGCTGTTGGCAGCTGCCACAGGGGGTGTGATCTGGAAGAAGATTGAGAGAAACCCCTGGTTTCAGCAGGTGAAGAGGTCTCGAGCACTGGTATGGCAAGTCTGGCACATGTATACAGCAGGCAGGGAGGGTAGGGTGTCGAGAAGCAGGAAGTGGTTCAGACAGAACAGCAAATTGGCCCAGACCGAAATGTCACTTATTTTGTCTCTATGTCTAAGTTTCCACCATTAGCAATGCATTCCTTCAGCACTGAATCCCACAAATCTGCCTGCTGGGGAGAGGTGCCTAAGTCCTTAAGTCAGGAGCCAAGAGGGGCACCCAGCCCTGGAACTCAGGAGAGATGGCCAGAAGTGGTGGGGGTGTGGGGTGCATAGGGAAGTACCAGATGGGAGGATCGTGTGAGGATCTCAATGCTTAGTTTACAACTTGACCAAGACCAACCCATATGCAGGCCAGTCTTGGGGTTCTGTATCCCCCTGTTAGAATCTAGGGACTAGCTGAAGAAGGGATGGACCTGGGGAGGTCAGAAAAGAGCTGGGTCACAAGTGGTGCTCTCTAGATACTCAGGGTGGGATAAGCTTTGGGGACAGATTCTCAATGTCCCTGTGTCATAGCAAGGGGACAGGGAGTAGTTTCAAAGACCTTCAAAGACTGGCTAACTGGACCTTGACCTCTGGTGGATAGTTAGTGCCTGAGGCTACCTAAACATGGCGACCAGTAGCATCTCCCACACCAGCAGCATCTCCCACCCAGCAGCATCTCCCACACCAGCAGCATCTCTCATACCAGCAGCATCTCGGACTAGCTGAAGAAGGGATGGACCTGGGGAGGTCAGAAAAGAGCTGGGTCACAAGTGGTGCTCTCTAGATACTCAGGGTGGGATAAGCTTTGGGGACAGATTCTCAATGTCCCTGTGTCATAGCAAGGGGACAGGGAGTAGTTTCAAAGACCTTCAAAGACTGGCTAACTGGACCTTGACCTCTGGTGGATAGTTAGTGCCTGAAGCTACCTAAACATGGCGACCAGTAGCATCTCCCGCACCAGCAGCATCTCCCACCCAGCAGCATGTCCCACACCAGTAGCATCTTGCACACCAGCAGCATCTCCCACACCAGCAGCATCTTCTACACCAGTAGCATATCCCAAACCAGCAGCATCTCCCACATCAGCAGCATCTCCCACCCAGCAGCATCTCCCACACCAGTAGCATCTCCCACCCAGCAGCATCTCCCACCCAGCAGCATCTCCCACATCAGCAGCATCTCCCACATCAGCAGCATCTCCCACCCAATCTCCCACCCAGCAGCATCTCCCACACCAGCAGCATCTCCCACATCAGCAGCATCTCCCACCCAGCAGCATCTCCCACACCAGTAGCATCTCCCACCCAGCAGCATCTCCCACACCAGCAGCATCTTTCATACCAGCAGCATCTACACCAGTAACATATCCCAAACCAGCAGCATCTCCTACACCAGTAGCATATCCCAAACCAGCGGCATCTCCCACATCAGCAGCATCTCCCACCCAGCAGCATCTCCCACCCAGCAGCATCTCCCACCGAGCAGCATCTCCCACACCAGCAGCATCTCTCATACCAGAAGCATCTCCCACACCAGTAGCATCTCCCACCCAGCAGCATCTCCCACACCAGTAGCATCTCCCACCTAGTAGCATCTCCTGCATCAGCAGCATCTCCCACCTAGCAGCATCTCCCACCCAGGCAGCATCTTTCATACCAGCAGCATCTCCCACACCAGTAGCATCTCCCACCCAGCAGCATCTCCCACCCCAGTAGCATCTCCCACCTAGTAGCATCTCCCACACCAGTAGCATCTCCTGCATCAGCAGCATCTCCCACCTAGCAGCATCTCCCACACCAGCAGCATCTTTCATACCAGCAGCATCTCCCACACCAGTAGCATCTCCCACCCAGCAGCATCTCCCACACCAATAGCATCTCCCACACCAGCAGCATCTCCTACACCAGTAGCATATCCCAAACCAGCAGCATCTCCCACATCAGCAGCATCTCCCACCCAGCAGCATCTCCCACCCAGCAGCATCTCCCACCGAGCAGCATCTCCCACACCAGCAGCATCTCTCATACCAGCAGCATCTCCCACACCAGTAGCATCTCCCACCCAGCAGCATCTCCCACAGCAGCAGCTTCTCTCACACCAGCAGCATCTTCCACACTGGTGCCCACACTGTGGAAACTTGTGCTGCAAGTACACAGAGCAGGCTGTAGGTAGTGGGGAAGTAGCACTGCCAGCTGCACTTAGAGTCATTGATGATGGCTGAGAGGCCTGAACAATAATACTCCAGGTACCTCCCCTCTCAGTGGGGTAGCTCTGAGATGCATGTGTGCAGTGGCTCCCTGGCTCCCCAGAAGGATTAAGGTCCCTGCTAGAGAATACCTGCCTCAAAACTACTCCCCCACCTCCACTACAATCTGGCTTGTCCCCTGTTTTCTGGGAACACCTCCCGAAGGAATAATTGCCACTGGAACCCATCTGGACTATTTCCAGGGATGCCCCAGACTTGACCAGTCATGCTTCAGGAAGCCTGAATCATCTCTTCTCTCTTTCCAAAATCAGGACTTCTCTGGGTACAGAGACCCATTGGCATACTTTCAACCTAGTGAACCAGAGTCTCCAGATGAGCTATTCCTCTGTCCCCAAAAGGAACTGACCATAAGGATCAGGCCAGGCTCTCGAGTCAGGGGCCCAGGCACCTTACAGGCAGGATCAGAAAAGAACAGCACTGGGGATGAAGATGAAGACACAGATGACAGTGACAGCTTCCAGCCCTACCTGGAACGGCCTCTCTTCCTGAGAAAGGAGCTCCAGGTTACGGGACGTTCTGAGGCAGATGAATCTGGAGTGGATTCAGGGAGGTCCTGGACACCTCCAATTGGGAGTGAAGGCTCTTCTGCCTGGGACCCTTCAGACAGGAGCTGGCCCAGCACTGTGGACTCCTCACTTGGCAGTATGGCTAGGTCCTCCAGCTATTTGGACAAGGAGTTGGACCAAGGGCTTGGTAGAGATGGGCATCAGGAGGCTCTCCCACACCTGGAATTCTCTGAGGAGTTGGGCTCCTCAGAAGAGCTTCCGAAGGATGACCTCTCCCATTGGGCCACTTGGGCTTCCTCATCCCTGAAGCAAGATCTGGTCCCTGGGGAACTCCCAGTTTCTCTTCACACACTAACTCTCTGCTGGCACAGTAACTCTGAGGAGGAAGAAGAAGAGGAGGAAGAAGAGGAGGAAGAAGAGGCAGAGAATGAAGAAGGTCATTGGGGATCAGAACTCAAGGACAGCAGTGCCAGCTGCTGGGGGGCTGTGAGTCTGCAGAGGACAGAGGTTAGGGGTGAGATGCTAGGACATTACATGGCCAGGTGACCTGGTCCCTAGTGGCCCATCCACCCTGGTGTTGCTGTCACTATAGCACTTCCCAAGGACCATAGACAACACTGAGAGTCAAGAGCTATGCCCCTCCCTGAGATGATCCCTTTGATGATCAGCGTTCTTGCAGCTCTTCGGGGACCCAGGCAGAGGCTCTTTGTCATTTGGGTTGAGCTGTGAGGTGTCACCAACTGCCTATGACCCACCTGCTTTAGATGGCCTTTGAGAGGGATGGGGATGAGGACAGGATGCAGTCAAACTGGTTGGGTGTCAGGATGCCTGTTGTCCCAGGGATGATAGACCTGGTGGAAAAGCATCCACCAGCTGAGGTCATGTGGCTGTGGACAACAAGGGGTGATACTCCCTGGTTCCCAAAACACACATAGCATTGGACAGTTCTTGATATGACACAGCCCTGGGTTCAAATCAGCTCTGCCGTTTACCAGTGGTGACCTGAGTAAGCTACTCTCATTCTCTGCCTCAGTTTCCTCTTGTGCAACTGTCACGTGGATGTAGTGAGGGTTTAGGGAGCTCTCAAATGTGTATGGCACAGGACCACCTGTGTCACTGGTGCTATGAGCTGGCTGGCAGAATCCTCCATCCAAACTCCTGAGAGACTCCTAGGCATCTCCTATCAGAATCCCCTAAGCCCAGATCCACAGGAGCACCTACCTTCCAACATGTCTCCCCTTTAGGCCACTCCCTCACTGCCCCCATACCTCCTGGTCAGGGGCTCTCAGAAGCCACAGCCCGGTCAGCTTTGCTTTCCTCTCACACACAGCCCATTTTCCAGGGGCCAGATCTGAAAGGCAGCCACAGGGCAGATACTGCACTCCTGGCCCAGGTTCCCTTTTGGACACTTTAACTGGGAGAATTTCAATCCATTATGCAAAAAAAAACCTCACAGCCACTTTACCCATGGTAATTGGGGGGGCGGGGGTTAAAGCAGGCATAAGGGAAGAGCCTCACAGATCACACCTAAGGGCACTGTTTAAGGGCATCTGATCCAGGGCTTCTCCAACCCATTCTCAAGTTGTAGGTGTGGGGGCCTAGAGTTCTCACTTTCAATCAGAGCAACCTCACTGTGCTGGTCTGCATACTGTGGCTTGATACAGAATGTGTGTTAGGGGGTTTCACAGCTAGACAAGTTAGCAAAGCACTGTTTTCATTGAACACCTGTCTTGTTTCATACCAAGAGCCTGAGGTCCAGCCTGGTAAGGATCTTGCTCAGGTCACCCAGCAAGGCTGCCCTAATGACTTAATATGTGTGCCCCCCAAGGGTGAAATCTTTTGTCTCTGTTCAGCCAGGCCAACCCCTGACCCCTTGGCCATGCCACCAAGGTACTTAAATCTCAACCGGGTTTTCAAAGAGTCATCAAGCTGGTGGAAGGAGACCTTTGCTACCCATGCTGGAACATACATGCACACTCATGTGTGCATGCACACTTGCATCTCCCTATGAGTTTCCTGTAGGTGAGGCTTATCCACATCACTGACCCCAAAGAAGGAACAAACAAGCAAGCTCAAGGAAGGCTGTAGCTGAGGCCCAGCTCCTGGAAGTGCCCTGACCATGGTTGACATCCTTTCTGAGACCCAGCTGAGTTACTTCACAAATTCTCTGACACCATCATCAGCACAATGTTATCTTGGTCTTCCATGAACTATGTGCTTGCTTTCTGATTTTCTACCTTCTTCCTGTTTAAATGAACATTTTTCAAAGTTTACTTTCTGATCCAACCTGAGCCCATTAGTAATTCTAAATTCCAGCTTCTTTCCGTCATTAGGTTGTTAACAAAAAACTGTGGAAGCCCACGGAAAGGACCCGAGAATCCACACCAGCGTTCTTGGTGTGCACTCAACACTTAACCATTTACACAGCCCTGTGCATGGCCTCTGGGAACTGTGGTGTAGACAGGGCCAAACTTGAAGGATGTCAAGGTCAAAGTGAGCCAAGCCTCACTTCGGCTGCAGTGATGTGCAATTCTTCAGCATATGTAGCCATTTTTCAGCTTATGAACCATTTTTGCTTATTTGTATTTATGTCTAATTTTGCACTGTGTTTTATATCATATTTAAATAATACTATAATGTCTGTTGGTATATTACCCCAAACCTTAATTAAAGAGCTCTATTTTTAGAGAGAAAGCTGTAATTGATGGAAACGTCTACATGCTTAGTTTTCAAAGGCTCCTCATGAATCAGTTGTTAAGACTACAAGGATCTTGGGTTGGATCCCCAAAAGGAGACCTAGAGATAAGGGTTTGGAGTATACAGAGGTTATGAGTCCAGATGACACCATAAGGAAGTGGGGGACTGAGGAGGAGAAAAGGAGGTATCCAGTTGTCCAAAATTAAACAGGTCCTTGCTGCCAAGCACCAGGGCTCCATGCCCCTGGAGAGCATCAAATGTCAGTGTCTGACCAACTTCAGATTTATTCCTCTGCCAAGGACAGGATCTAGAGGACTTAGCCCCAAACGTCACTGGTGCTGTGAGCTATAGGTTGTTTTTTTTTTTTAACCTAGGGCCTTACATAGCCTAGGCAAGTATTGCACCACTAATCTGTATCCCCAGCTGAGTGTGTGTCCGTGTATGTGTAACAGTGTGCATGTGGAGGTGAGAGGACAACTTTGTGGAGTCATTTCTCTCCTTTCACTGTGTTGGCTCTGGGGATCAAACTCAGGTCAGCAGGGTTACACAGCAAGTACCTTTACCTGCTGAGCCCTCTCGCCAGCCTCTACTTTTTATTTTTGAGAAAGGATCTCACTAAGTTGATAGCACTGACCTTGAGCTCACTCTACAGCCCAGGCTGATCCTGAATTTGTGATCCTCCTGCTTCAGCCTCCCAAGTAGCTGGAATGGCAAGCCTGTGCCACCAGGTCCAGCCTTGAAGCTACTTGCAGTTGGGAATCTATTCTATACACTTGGCATGAGAAAAGTGAGTGCCACAGGGCGGGGACTGGGTCTCCAGCGCCACCTGCTACAGTGCGGCTGGAGCTTGCTCTACACCCTGGAAGCACATCCACTGGTGACTTTGGTTCACAAGAGGATGCAGTACAGTCTCACTGCGGTCAGTCTTGCAACCCTAAATTCATCCCAGCAGCTCTCTGTTATCTGAGGGAGTCTTAATTAGGGGATTGCCTTGATCAGATTGGCCTGTGGTCATGGCGGTGAGGCTTTTTCTTGAGTGTTGCTTGATGTGGGAGGGCCCAGCCCACTGGTCAGCACCATCCCTAAGCAGGGGGTCCTGGGTTGTATAAGAAATCAAGCTGGCCAGGTGGGTGGTTGCGTGCTTTTAATCCCAGCACTCAGGAGGCAGAGGCAGGCGGATCTGGACTGTTTCCTGGAAGTAGAAGATGAAAGAAACCCTTTCCTCTCCAAAGTTGCTTTTGGTCAGAGGAGCAAACTAGATCAATAGCACAGCCTGTGGCCAGTCTCAGGCATCTGTGGACCACTTGACCACTGTGCAGACCTTTCCAGAAAGCAAGGCACAGCTTCCTCTACAACTGACCCTCAACCACCTTCCCCACCTCAGCCGATTCCATTCTGAGCATCTGAGCCGGTGTGCTGCCACCTTCTGGACAGTGGTGCGATAGCAGGACTGCCTGATGACAATCTCCCAGCTCAGCAGTGAAGGACACGACATCCCTCCACCTAGTAGCTCTAGAACCAGGGACAGGGTGGATGCTTGCCACTGAATAAATGAATAAAAGAACGAATGAGGCTTCTGGGTAAGATGGCTAACTAGAGAGAAGGAGAAAGCCAGAATAAGGAAAAATAGACTTTATCCTTAATAGAGGAAGAGCTTCAGAAATTCACAGAGGAAGTGGAAGGAAACTGGAAGAGAACAAGAAAACGGAGTGGCAGGGCCCAGCCACTTCCAAAAGCAAGTCAGGGGAAAGCTGGGCTGCCATACTGTTGGCACACGCCCACAGACCTCCCAAGCCTCAAAACTGGATGCATAGTTTTGGTGAGGCAGTGATTCCTCTGGCTAATGGCTCAGTGAAGGAAAGAAATCTCTTTTGTCTGGCACCATCTTGATGTTAAAGACTGGGTTGCCCCGGGGGCCTGAGAACAGAGTTTATCTATGTTAGAGCACAGAGGAGGCCCCTGTAGAGGGATCCACTGGTCTAGCATTTTCCCTAAACTGTTTGCATGTAGCAGCCTCAAGGTGAGGTAGGACAATAGGATTAACTTCCTGAGTTTCCACCTTAGATCCCATCTAGTATCTGCTCTGAACTGCTAAGCTCAGAGACACCCCCTATCCCAAAGCCTTTGTTCTACTGGTGGCTGTTGGATCTCAGCTTCTCCTGGAGTGGCCAGCACCACTAAAGGGAATTTGACCTGAAATTCATCTCTTCTCTCTACCGAACTAGAAAGAATCTTTATTGTTTTAAAAAATCTACAGGTCAGGGATCCTCAACCTGGCCTGCCACAGCTTCAAGGTGAGAGAGAGCTGTGGAGAGCAGAAGGGCCAGACACTGACAAGCCAAGTGGTGTAAGTGACAGGAGGCTAGGCTCAGGCTGGGCTCAGACTGGGGAGTATGTGAGGACAGAGCCTCACCCTCTGACCTTACAACTGAGAATCACCACAGCGTTTGATAGCTGAGTATGAGGCTAGTAGAGGGATCAGACCCTAAAACCTGGATCTGTTGATCTGTCTTTCCATGCTCCAGTGCTAGGAATGGATACAATACCCATGGTTGCATCCTATGGTGCAGTGGTTGATACTCAGGAGGCCTTGAAAGTACAAAGATGGGTCCCCCATCTGTACCAACCTCAGCGGTGTGGTTGCTTCCCTAGTCCCAACACACTTGGGAGACCCCCCCCCCAGCTAAAACAATACCAATCTGTACTGGTATGCAGAAAAGGAAATGGCTGCTGTGAGGCTGTGAGGACAGGCCCAGCAGACATCAGACCCTCGTCCAACTCAGACTCAGCAACAGCATAAACCATAAGAAAGCTAAGAGTCTAAATAACCAGTCAGAGTCAAGAATACATGTCTACTGCATGCTTAGCCTGAAATGGGCACCTCTATCAACTCCCATCCCCAAGTCTCATCTAGGAACATCTTGGAAGGGGGGAGGTATTCTGGTTAATTTTTTAGTCAACTTGACACAAACTAGAGACTCCTGGAAAGAGGAAACCTCAGTTGAGGAATTTCCTTAATCAGATTGGCCTTGGCCATGTCAGGCATTTTCTAACTGCTGGTTCATGTAGGAGACCCTAGCCTACTGTGGGTGGTACCATCCATAGGCAGGTGGGCCTGGGCTACATAAGAAAGATAACTTGAGGAACTGGAGAGATGGCTCAGCTGTTAAGAGCACTGACTGCTCCTGCAGAGGACTCAGGTTCAGTTCCCAGCACCTACATGGCAGCTAACAACTCCAATTCCAGGAAATCTGATGCTCTCTTCAGACCTCCACAGGCATTGTACTCAAGTGGTGCACTTACATACATGCAGGCAAAACAAACACATGAAATAAAAATAAAATCAAGGTAACTGAGCAAGCCAAAGGACTCCAGCCAGTGAGCAGCCGTCCTCCGTGGTCTGTGCTTCAGTTCCTGCCTCCAGGCTCTTGCCTTGGGTTCCTGTTTTGACTTCCTTTGATGATGGACTATAAGCTATAATTCAAACAAATCCTTTCTTCCCCAAGCTGCTTTTGGTTATGGTGTTTATCGCAGAAACAGAAAACGTAATTAGGACAAGAGAAAAAGGAAGAGTTGGAGGATGGGGAGGAGCACTGTGAAATACTATCTTCAGGACATGGCCACTGCACCCATGAACCGCCGCCGCTATGGTTACCTGCACAAGATCAGTCTGCATTCCAGGCAGCAGTAATGGAACTCAATGGGTTATTAACAATAAAAAGCAGAAGACACAAAGGGAGTAGAGGGAACATTTGGGGGTGCTTGAAGAGACTGGGATGGGGAGTTGAGGACAGGTGGAGGGAGTGGAAAGGATTTGGGAGTGCATATGCTCAAAATGTGTTGTTTACATGTATGAAATTGTCAAAGAATAAATAAAAGATATTCTATTTTGAAAAAGAAAAAAGGGCTGGAGAGATGGCTCAGCAGTTAAGAGCACTGGCTGCTCTTGCAGAAGATCCAGTTCCCAGGACCCACATACTAGCTAACAACCATCTGTAACTCCAGTTCTAGGGGATCCAAAACTGTCTTCTGGCCTCTGAGGGCATTATATGACACAGGTTCACTAACACACATGCAGGCAATACACTCATACACATAAAGTAAAAATAATAAATGAAATATTAAAATATTTTAAATGTCTGTATTTCTTTTTTCTTCTATGTATTTATTTTTATTTTATGTGTATGAGTGTATTGCCTGCGTGTATGTAAGTGCACCTGTGTTGCACAATGCCCACAGAGGAAAGAAGAAGGCATCAGATCCCCTGGAACTTAAGTTTCAGATAATTGTTAACCGCTATGTAGGTTGTGGGAACTGAACCTGGGTCCTCTGCGAGAGCAGCCAGTGCTCATAACCACTGAGCCATTTCCAGCTGCAAAATTTTATGTTTTAATTTCCATTCCCCTTCCTACCTTCACCTAATTGTGTTTATGCATTTTTTTCCCATTTGGGGACAATGCTTTTCCCTTGGTCCTCCCCCACCCTATCTCTCCTCATCTCTCCTCCTCTTTGCATTTGTTGGTCTTTTTTAGTTAGGTTTTTATTTCTTATCCCCCTTCTTACATTGACCTAATGCTGTTTTTGAACTTCATTCCTGGAACATCTTTGCCCGTTCTCTTTCTAGTGTTTCTAATCTCTTGCCCTTTGCTCCCTCCTTGCATAACGTCTCCATCTCCTTCTTTCCCCTCATTGAACTCGACTCCTCCTCTGTCTCTCCCTTTCCCTGTCTCCTTCACGGATCTCATTCACTGCATTCCTATGGTACGTTCTACAGAATTTTTCCATTTGGGGTATTATGGTCACTGGTGATGAGCTGGAATTTATTTTACATGTATTTCTGTATCTTGTATGACTTGATATTATTGCTGTGATAGCAGTTTGCTTTCTCCTCCCAAGTGGTACTGAAGATGGAGCCTTGAGAGATGGCTCAGGGGTTAAGTGCGCTGGCTGCTCTTGCAGAGGAC